TCTACCATAATACTGTGCTAATATCCCTTTTCCAGTTTTCCCATAACGGTTCAAATGGACTTTTTTCTTAATAAAGTTATATATTTTAGTAGTTACACAGCAACTTTCAAAAACCAGAATTTCATGAATGGAATAATATCGACTTTGACTATATATATACTATTCAAACTAATCAACTTGGAATAAAATATATCTGGACCATCTAGAAAGTCGTTTTTTTCTAGAGTTCTTACCAATACCGTTCTCCACCTGGGAGAAGTCTGCATTACAAATTTATTATGAGAGCTCATACCATTAGTCACTGGAGAAACCAAATTGCAGAGCAGTTCTAGAATTACAGCTAGTCAGCAATCTCACAATAACTAATTTTCCATGCACTTGTTTCTTAGTCATGATAATCACCGGTAGTGACGTGACACTGATGGCTGAATTGGCATATACCATATATATCGTAAATTGTAGGATATACCATTAGAGTAGGCATGCCATATCTCCAGTCTTATAGCTACTACTGCTAATGACCTTTCTGAACTGGTGCATACGACAATTTGTGAGGGGCGATTTGTCAAACTCACGAGCTTGGAACTTGTAAAATTTCAACGTTTTGGTTATCTACCAATCAATCCGCAAATACCCCTTGCCTTCTGCTATTAAAACGCAAATCATTTTCATTACTATTGTGTCACGGATTCAGATGTTTCAGTATTGGCCGAATTCTGGCAATGGACTGTTATGGTGACAATTTTTTATAGCATTTATTGTTATAATTTATATATATATTATTAAATAAATAAATATTTTTAATATTATAAATTTATTGTAAATTAAAAAATTTATCATTTACATGAATCATTAAATTATAAAAAAAAATAATATAAAAAAATTATCTCAAATTTATTTACCTTCGGGCACTGCTCCAGTCACGAGAACAAGGATACTAACTGACGGAATTCTGGCACTGCTTTAATTACTAAAACAGGGATATTAATGGACTGCTGATAATGATATTAAGCCTCCAGTTCTGCAACTTTTAGGGATTCTTTGGTTGTCAAATCACCTTAAAATTTTTTTTTTTAGTTTTTCCTTTTCTAATATCATTTAAAAATAACATCTTAAACGCATTGACTTTTGGATCTAGTGGTAATTATTACGATGAAAGGCTCTTTGGACGGGTTCCATCCGCCCCCATGATCAATTAGTCAAAAAAAATAAATAAATAAATAAAATAACATCCTAAGCCTTATCCTCTACTTAACATAAATCCTAACTCATGAACTCTTTTTCTCATGCTTTTTGAAAGGAAACAATTTCTCTTAGCGAGATTAACAACTAAATAAAATTTACTTACAAAATTTATCATAAAAAAAAGTACTTATCAATTTTTTTTATAATTTTTCAATAAAAACTGTTTTAGTAACACATGACTCAAAGGGTCAACTGACACTCTATCAGTTTGAGGTACATTATCGCTTTCTTATGAACGGTTTCGAATTCGCTCCTTCACAATTTGTTCAAAAAAAAAAACAAACTTTCTTGGTAAAGCTGACCCTCTATCCAAATAGGTGCTAGGGAAAATCCCAAAGCCAATTGGATTTAATTAAAACTAGTCTATGTCTTGATTAAAAGGCAGGCTTATCACCATTTTGGCACAACTGTACAAGACCTCAATTCATGCAAGCAAACACACAAGTTTTCGGTGAAAAGCCATGCATCAATATAGCAGCCATGAGTTAGGTTGTTTTACACTCAACCTGTAACCTCATGCCTAACTTCTACGACCCCACCAGACCAAGTTATCCATTCCAAGGCTGCTTCCTGACATCCCTGGTGGCAATCTTGAATATTATTATGGATTTGATGAAGAATTAGAACAAAAGCATTCTATGTCGGGTTAGCCAGGGTACTTGTAAGATGGAACATTGAAAGGGTTTGCATCAGGAACGGTTTAAAACTAGCAGTTGAAACTAGAAAACGATGGCTACCTGCAGAACTAAGAACACTTGCATATTTTCCTATTTGAAAACGTCTTTAAATCAGAGTCAAACATATTTAGGAATTGGTCAGGCATCAACTTAATAGTCAAAATGCTATTAAATATTAAGTTGCTATTCAAGGATACCATTTCTTGACAATACCTTGAGATCAACAAGAATTTTGAACAACTAATCTGCAACTAAAGATGTGTAACTTAAATGCTTTACCATTCGAATTAACTCTCAGATGGTAGTCTGCATTTTCAATCAAATATTTTGATGTTTATTCGTGGTTTAATGATTTACTCATAACAAGATTTCCAAAACTAACCACAACCAAAAAGTGAAAGGGATATCAAACAACTTGCTGAATCTTACAGAAACTACGGTCAAAGTGATGACATTAAAGAAGTATGCAACTAGCAACTTATTGAAGGTAACAAACAAACTTCCAAGTTAATGTTCATAGGAACAAAAGTCTTCCAAATATGAGCAGCTAAGATCATACTGCTCATGCCATCATCATTCTTTCTTTCCAATCCCATGAGACAGATTATAGATCCCCCGTCCCTGAAAACAACAACACAGAATATGAAGAGTCATTAACATCACTCAGATGCAGGGCAATAGTTATGATTTTTCAAAAGCAGGTTTTCATAAAGAGGAGACTTACAATTAGATAAATTGAAGTTGCAGCCAGAGCAAGAGGAATGGCCACCGAGGTGATCTTATCCAATGGTCCTTTCAGGTGTGTATGCTTGTGGACACTTTGAAAATGTTTTTGCTTCTCAAGAAGCTTTTCCCGAGCCCTAAAAGGTAGCTCCGACATCCTGCAGCTCAAATTATAAACAGATAAATAACAAACTCTTGTAACCAGCTCCTTAAAATCCCTAAAGCATGTCAATATCACCATGCTCCTCGTTTTCCTGTCTTTGAGAAAGCAAGGTTTATTCCCTTCCAATGAAGACATCAGATTTTAGATGAGAAAAGCCAAAACTAAAGCACCTCCTAGCAAGCTAATGAACAAACTGGATTGTTTAAATCTCAAAGATGGAAAGTAATATTTGCAAAACACAACCAACCAACCAACCAAAATCCCCAACCCAAAAAATATAAAAATTTTTGAACAACCTATACGTCTTTAGACACAACTGATTCAGGTTTTCAGTTTTCCTCTCCCAGACCCCCCCAAAAAAAAAGAAAGAAAGAAACTTTCGATAAACATATACTCAGTCCCAGAGGCATGTATCATTCCTACATGACAGGACTATAATCATGCCAGTGGCTTTCAAGTTCGTACTTACATAATGACAATTGAAAAGAAAAATATCACTTGCACGACAATAAAAAATACATCATAGAAGTTCCCCTCAAAAAATTAGTTACGTTTACATAGACAGGTATCCTTGATGGAGAGTAATATGTCTGTTGATGATAAAATTGAGCACAAGCACCAAATTTGGGATGAACAGCAAACATAATCTTCACCAATACACAACAAAACAATCATGTATCCCTACATAAACCTCAGAAGCCTGAACATTTTCTAAGATAGACACGAGAGACATTCCAATCCTCTACTAATATTACGAGTTACCACATAGCCGGAGCCAAGTCTCAACGAATCCGATCACCAATTGGTTGAAACAAAGATTGATTGATTTTATAGGTGATGAGTAATCCAATCAAACGAAAGATTGCAACAGCAGTAGTGAAAA